TATATATATATATATAGTATATATTATTATAGTAGAAAGTATTTATAAAACGCGTATAAATTTGAAGACGATTAATCGAAGTGCTACTGCTACTCGTGCGACAACCGCCATTCAAAAGTTTCATCAATGTACGTATATACATTTGAAACAAATACGTATATAGCATCGATTTATTATTATTCCAATGTCGGAAGAACAATTTGATTTTTCTCGTCAAATCCGGAAGAGTTTACGGTACGGTGGGGGTGGGAAAGGATGAAAAAAGAAAAGAGAGAGAGAGAGAGAAAGGAGACGGTTGATCCTCTTAAACGATTATCACTCTCGCGAGGATTAAGTTCGGCGATGTGTTATGATTAAATATATATAATACAAATGTGATTACTAAATTATATCTTCTATATACGTGCGTACACATTATAAATGGATATTTTCGTCCTGCGCGAGAAATCAGGATTTTAGCCTGAAATGATACCAAGGAAAGTGAATAAATAATTCTATTTTTATTTCTTATACTTTGGATATTAATTAATGGGAATTTGATTCGGAGAAAGTGGGCTCAATTCCTGATCATTGCGATAAAACGAGTCGCGTAGCTTAATCCTCTTGGGCGCCTACGCAAATGCTTTTTTTTTTATGCCTCTTTTAAGAATCTCCATGCCACGTCAGTTTTAATAAACGAACGGGGTGTATAACATATTGCTTGTAGACATAAGAATCGTGTGTCCTATCAAGACCTGCAGCCAGCTTTCGACGAACTCCCAGTGCTCAGGTAAAGTTTGTATATTCCGTCGTAAGTTCGTTCAGCCTACAAACATTCACGTCAGGAATTTCACAACAAGAAAATAAGATAATATCTATTATCGAAAAAATGATCAATTATTCGGCGAGAACGTGCACGAGTATTACGTAAATCTATGAGTAATATTTTCGATGAATGATTCTTTTATTAAATTCATTTCTACGTCTAATAATTTATCTCATCTTGTACGTTCTCACCTTTTCTTAGAATTTTGTTGTTATTTTTTAATCGGACTCATCTTGCAATATGGAAGACCAAAAACATGGTCGAGGTTATGGCAAACGAATTTACGGAACGCATAAGCGTTGTATACAAAGTAATGTTGCATTTGGTACGAAAAATGAGTGCTCGTAAAAATATGAAAAGTTGAACGATTCTGGTCATACTTATGCGCCGTTCGTGCGTACGCGATAACCTCTTTGCTGTGCACGTCGATTCATCATAAAGTTGCATCAATGTCCGATCGAATCGTCGATAATTTATTTTCTTCATAATTTCGTATGTACATATGTACATTCACCGAGAACGAACGTTTCAATTCTTACTAATGAACGACAAATGATCGATATCATTATGCGTTGCATACGAATTCTGTCAACGTTCGATTATATTCGAACAAATTGATTTATTTTACATTTTGTTTATTTTTTCTTTGAAATAACTAACTAACGTTCGTTCGTTCGTCCGTTCTCGGATATGTTCATCAAAGTATTGGTTCATTAGAATTTTAGATAGTCTGTTCGTTATGTTCTTACGACTATCTCGAGTCCGAGCAAAAGTTGACGAAATTGTAAGCAAGAAAAAAACTATAAGTTTGGGTGAAAAGAAGCAAAAGCAAAGAATTTGTTGGGGAACGAAAAAGGTTGCTCGGAATCGGGGGGCAACAATCAATTCTAGTTGAGAAGAGAAAATGCTGGTACGTAGTATAGCGTAAATAAACAGTGACTTGATTGACTGACGATGATAACAATAAGTAGACGCAGTAGAGTACAAATTAGGCTGGTAGTGGTGGTCGTGGCAGTTACGACAAAAAATATATCTCTCTTCGTTTTTTGATTATCGAACAAGTCAGACGCCGCCATGTTAGACAAATTATTAGACAAATTTGACAATATTTCTAATCGACCTATTTATTTACTCGCGTTATATTTATACATTTGTTTCGTTATTAATTACTAAAAGAATAAGACAATCTTGATCGTAGAAAAGCATCAAATTCACAATTCCTAAGTTGCATGCGAATACATCCTTTGGATGAAAACATTTCTTTGTAAACATCACGAAGATTGGCAAATGAAGGGGGGTTGGGTGTTAGGGGATGATAGAATGTGATCAGAAAACATGGGGAAGCAGGAAAGAGAATGACACGAGACTTTTTCTTCGCACGAAAAGTTTTCTCACACTTATTTTATTTGATTTTATTTGATTATTTTTTTTTGTCCAATCATTCAACGATTCTACAATTTAACATGCATACGAGTATTATGCTATGGGATATAACATCGGGAATAAAAAAAATCAAAGAAGTGAAAGAAAGGACCGATTAGTATTAAAAAACAGAAAATAATAATTGAAATTGTTGTTGATGAAACACGTAGAAAGGCGCAGAAGCCGCAGACGTAGGACGTAGACGTATTGATAATAAAGGTTCTTGCATGTTTACTGTTGTAACGTAAAAATGTGTCGGTAAAATAATTGCCCGGATTGGGACAGCTCGTGCGTGTAAATCGATGATGGCACGGCTCCCAATCTTATATAATTACTCATTAACGATTCCAGCACGTCGTCAAGAGATCATCAAAATGACGGAACAATTGATCGAGAGTATCAGTACCGGTGACTTCGAGGCTTACACGTGAGTACGAAAAGAAATCGATCGGAAATAATATTGCAATAAAAGGAGAATAAAAACGATTTGTTTACGGGTGTTCCAGGAAAATCTGCGATCCACACTTGACCGCGTTTGAGCCAGAGGCTCTAGGTAATTTAGTCGAGGGAATGGATTTCCACAAATTTTACTTTGATAATGGTAATTACGACTGATTTGCGTATCCGCTTCCACTCGCCACTCCTATGCCCTACTACTAAACCCTAATACTCAAATTCCTGGCGGTGCGTTCGTTGATGATGATGGTGGTGATGGATGGTAGTACTGGCCGCTAGAGCACCTATTATTCTAATTACGTTTAAACATTACTTTCCATTCGCGAGAAGGACTTTTCCTTTTTTCCCTTTATAGTGCACGTTTTATGCAACCGGAGCACGATCGTCTGACGTATGCTCGTTTCGAACTAGAGAATCAAAACAAAATCCTAATTCGATCTAGAGTTATTTTTTCTTTTTTTATTCCTTTAACGAAACCACCGTCACGTATGCATGAATCCATCCATCTATCTATCTGGAAAATCATCCATTCATTACGTATTTAGGTTCAACGCGGCTTGTTATTGCACTTTATCTTCTTTCAAATTATGCATGACGAACACGTATCTACGAGAGTACGGTCAGGATAAATACATATATTTTCATTAAGATCTATTTTCATAGTCGAATGAAAATGATATGCATTCGTTCGATATATATTTGTGTTCAACCTAATATGACCACTTACAATTTCAATTTATATATAGCAAGCTTTTATATTATTCAAAGTAAAAAAGAAAATGTTCCTTTTTCTTCTACTTGTTGTTATCGTTGTCTCTCCTACTTTCTTTAATGTTTATGTACAAAAATGCATAGTATACGCATTTTGATTCGATATATGAGATGACACGCGAATAACCAAAGTTTCATTTTAAACAACAACGAAGCGGTTCTCGGCAAAAACTGCAAGGCCGTCAACACGACCATCCTGAATCCACACGTGCACTTGCTCGGTGAGGATGCTGCGTGTATTGCCTACGTCAGGCTCACACAATACATGGACAAGTAAGTTAACATATCGAAATATGATATTGATTTTGATTTATCCAGTCGGCCATTTTGTCTTCTTCAATATTTTGTCAAATGTAAATATTTAATATAAAAATACTGTGCAATAAGTTATCGATGATTGGTCTTAGGCAAGGTGTAGCACACACACACCAAAGCGAAGAGAGCCGTGTCTGGCACAAGAGGGATAACAAGTGGCAAAACGTACATTTCCATCGGAGCGCAGTTACGGGGCCAACGTCGTTCTCATTCAGTCACAAATAAATCTGAATGATTACGTTAGTTCCGTAGAGAAGATGTTGCTGTTCGTCAAAAATATCAACACAACATGAGCAACGTTCTATCATCCGAATGAAGAAAAGGAAACACGACGAAAAATTATACACCCGCGCGCGCGCATATATTAATATATATATATATAGAGAGAGAAAAATATATATACGTATGTATATGCACAAACTATATACATATATATAAATATATTTAAAAAAATAAAGAAAAAGGGAGAAAGAGAGAAAGAGAGAGAGAAAGAATATGAAATAAACGCAAAAAGTGTTTACGAACGCTGGCGCAAAGTTTTTGAAGAGAAATGCAAAAGAGAATAATAACTTAATTCCCGAAAGTTGGTCAGTTAGTATTAAGCGCGACAAAAAGGAAACCGAGCAAGCTAGCAAACAAACAAACAAACAAATATACGAAGAAGAAGGAGGAGAAAAGTCTTATTTATTGTAAGGAATTCCGCGTGCATTTCTGTCACGTGCCTCGCAGTCCTCTGAACAAACGTACGCAAGACGAAATAGAATGTGAATGAAAAGAAAAAAAGATAGACAGATTTAAGGAAAAATACAAATAAAAATAAGAAAAATAACAGAGAGACATTTTGCGGTAGGGGAATTCGTAGCCGTGTTTGTTGGAGTACTCTTGTATTTAGTTGTTAGCCATTGTACAGTGCATTTCTGCCACGTCGATTCAAAACTTTTACTTACTTACTTACTTACTTACTTCTTTTTCCTATCGTCTTTTAAAATCACGTAAATTAAGGAACGCGTGCTTTCCCTTCAACACAAAAAAAAAGAAATTCTGTCAAATTTGGATTTATCTTCGTATCGAACACGTCGGAACGATCGTTCTTACTAACATTTTTTTGAGGGAAATATTACAGTAATTCTTCTTCTTTTTCTTTTTTTCTTTTTTTCCACGAAGAAGATCAAATCCGATTGATTCGATAAAACCGGATACGAAAATACGAAATGGTCTTCCTTAGAATTACTCGTTTAAATGGCGTTTAGAAATATGCGAAGATAAATTGAATTCTTTTCTTTTTTTCAAATAAAGAATTCGTTTCTGTATGGAGAGCACGCGGTAAATCAAATATCGAAAATTTCTATTTTCCCTCTTTCTCTCTCTCTCCCTCCCTCTTTCTGTCTCTCTTTCTCTCTCTCTTTCTCTCTCGATAATATTGTTATCTTACCAAAACGAGAAAGCACTTGACCATTGATGTGTTTTAAAAAAAAAAAAAAAAAAAAAGAAAAAAAAAAACTGTGTACGAGAAAACTTGATAACTCTGCCAAAATATCATAAATATTACATCTCGTAATTCGATAATTTCATTTTTCATTTCTGTCGATTGCTTTCTCGATTCGCGAATGCACGCAGATTGTATGGAACGAAATGAAATAGAATGAAATGAATTGAAAAGAAATGAAATGAAATGAAATGAAATGAAAAGGAAAGAAAATATAAGAAAAATAAAAATAAGAAGGATTAAGGCAAACATACATATACATATATATATATGTATTTGCATTCTTATCGAAAGCTAGGTAAATAGATAGCCACGAAGAGAATTTTATCAGATAAATAGAAAGAAAAAGAGGAATAAAAAAATAGAAATCGTGTAATGATATAGTGATTTCATTCACGCTCACTGTCGTGTGTCTCTCTCTTTGCATTAATTATTAGTGTTAAATATCTTACACGTGCAATGATGATGATGATGTATTATCGAAAAAAAAAACTTTGATAAAGTTCTTCGACGACTATGAAAAAATTCGCGACGTCGCGAAATTCATTAAAGAGAGAACGAAAGAAAATAAATAAATAAATAAAAAAGGGAGGAAAAATGTGGAGAAGATAAGAGGGTGGGTGGAAAAGCAAAAAAGTAAGAAAATGAAAAGTGAGTTAAGAAAATCGATGGGTCGCGATTTAAAGAGAAAAATAATAATATTAAATATAAGAAAAGAAAAAGATAAATGACGATGATGATGGTGATGATAATGAGAGGAAAAAAAAAAGATAAGATTTTTGTCCAATTAAAATTTCATTAAATATGATGAATCTTTCTACACGTTCGTACATCTTCTATTAAAAATACACGTATATATATAGATATGTGTGCATATACATATATAGGAAGAAAGTAAATCAATATATATATACGTGTGCACATATATTGTATACTATATATATTATATTCAACTTATGCGTATAGAAGAAAAAAATTTTCACCATCTACGAAACTAAAAACACTAGGAGGAAAATTAAAAAAAAAAAAGATAAAGAATTTTTTTGCCATCTTGTTATAAAAAAAAAAAAACATACACGCGCGCACACACATACATACATTTAAATTATGCGGATTTTTCGATGTGCGCAAAGAATATACATATATGTACGTGTGCATGTATGCATGTATATACTAAGCAGAGGGTTTTTTTCGGAATTATTCTAACGGATGATTGGAATCACAACTTTTTATTAAGATTTACATTTGCAAATGAAAGGAAATAAAACGGCTAGGGGGAGGAAAAGAAAATTTCAATTGAAAGAAAAAAAGAAGAGAAAGATGATGATTTAAAAAAAAAAAAAAGAAAAACAGCTAACTAGCATCGACTATTTAAAAAAGAAAAAAAAAGTAAGAGTTCCAAAAAGTTCTGTGAAACTTGTCATACCGTACATATATATTATATATTCGTGTTACGAAAAATGCGAACTACTTTTTGCCCTCTCCCTCGTTATTCCGTAATAATAAAATAATTACACGCAGAAGAATAAGAAAAGCCATTTTTATAAATCATATAATAATAAATATATTCGTTCTACGATGAGATTGCCTCCGATCATCGGTTCGCAAGTTGATTTATAATAACGATGATCAAATATATGTTCTAAGAGGACATATACATAAATGTGTATGTATATATACATAAATACACATATATTATATGTACATGTGTATATATACATATATATATGAAAGCATGCGCGCGTGTGTATGTATTCGAATGTGAGCGTGTACGTACGCAGCGTGTCAGTAAAAAAAAATAATAATTTACACGGAGCATATTTCGTATTGACAACAACAAAATCATGATTTTATTCATTTATCTATTTTCCTTTGTGTTACGTGCATGTAACTACCACTAACTACCTATCGCTACTATTGCTACTACAAACAAAATTGCAACTACAACAAATTGCATCTATTTCGTCAAAAGAAATATGGACAAAAAGTAAATAAAATTAGATAGATAGTCGAAAATAATTTAGAATTGTTAGATTTGATTTGACAAGCTAATCGCATAGAAACCCGATTTACGTCTGCTTTAGAAAGAGAGATTAATAAAATCTTATGGGAAGAAAGGTTTATTAAGCGTGCGTATGCGCATTCATGTACGATGGCACGCGCGCGCACGTACCTATGCGTATGTACCTATATATATATTGATACAAATGCAGATACCACTTAATATATTGCAAATACTATGTATGTATATATACATATACATATATAAATTATCTATATATATATATATATAT